GGCAGTGCGGCGGCAGCAGGAGGCCCCATTAGCTGAAGTGGTACCTCAGCTTAAGAACAGTTTCAGGTTAAGAACGGACCTCCAGAACGAATTAAGTTCTTAACCCGAGGTACCACTGTACAGTGGTACCTCCGGTTACGGATGGGGTCCGTTCCAGAGACCCGGCCATATCCCGAAAAGTCTGTAACCAGAGGCGCCCTTCTGTGCACATGCACGGCCTGATTGAGCACTTCTGCACATGCATGTGGCAAGCAGAGCACTTTTGCGCATGCACACACAGCGAAAGCCGGAAGTATATACTTCCGGGTTTCCCACGTTCGCAACCCGAAGTTTACATATCCAGAGGGATACGTAAGCAGAGGTACGACTGTCAATTCAGGGCCCTGGCTATAAATGCCAGGCTGGCCGAAAGTAAATGGTGGAAGGAAGGCATGGGAAACTACTAGAGTGCTGACTCTTTCCCCCAGCATCTCTGTAGCACTTAACTGGAGATTGAGATCCAATCCATTCCCTCTATCAACTAACCTGATAAAGTCGTGAGAACCAAAGACAGTTAAAATGCAGCCTTCCCCATCCTGGTGTCCTCCATGAATTTTTAATTTCAACTCCCATTACCCTAACCAGCAAGGTCAGTGAGTCAGGGCTGGTGGGAGTCAGCAGTCAAAAACATCTGGAGGGTACCAGACTGGGAAAGGCTGGTGTAAAATATAGCACTCTTGCTGCTAGAGGCAGGAATCTTATACAGCAACATCCAGCAAAGAAACCTCCTTGCTGTTTCTTAAACACGGAGGCAGCTTCAGAAGCAAGAGCAGATGCTAATATGCTGGTTACCATGGCAACACCCACAATGACATCTGGAATGCCACCATCTGCTGTGCTGTGCTGCAACTTACCTGTAACCTGTACATTTATATCTGCAAGCATCCCCGATGTTAAATGGATGAATGTCGCTCAAAATAAATCCTGCCTCCGCTGCCATAGCCACTACTTGCCAGCTGTTATGCCATTCCCTCACAGGCTGGTCTGCAGGGGTACCACCCTGCCCTCTGCAAAGTGCCACATGGACCTCGCCTTTCTCTGCCAGGACTTCTGCACAGCTGGAAAAGGAAGAGAGGAGTGATGGGTAACATTCTTTTGTGCCTGAGGCAACACTCTGCTGCCTTCTTGAGCTGTTTCCAAGAAGTCCTTGGATTGTGTAGCTCTTAGCAATATTTTAGGGGGTGGGGGAAGGGTTGTGAGAGTTGCACTTTGGGAGGGGAAAGAGTGTGTTATATGATTGGTTACTGAGCTTGGGCAGGTATGACAAGAAACTTTCATCAAAAGAAAGATTACAAAGAGAGGAAAACACATAGTGCTTATATTTTCTCACTGGACCTTAACAGCATTGCTCCAAATAGGATCTTTATAGTTCCTATAACTGGAGGTGTTTGCTGGAAAGCTTGCAAAAATGAATAGCAACTCCAAGGCGCAGAATTATTAGTTCTCTTGCATGAAAACCCTGGTGCATTTCCCCTACTTATACAGACCATCTGCTACCACACTGCCTCATTGCTCAAAACAGCCAATTGCAACAAAGCATTTATTTGTATATAGTGTTTAAAAGGAAGCGCATCAACTAAATATGCCTGCCTGTATAAAACCAGAACATCTGAACTTAGCTGGCTCACATTTATATCAATTTTATATTGAAGACAGGTTTTGGTGTAAGGTAGCAACATCAACTGAAGTTAACACACACCACCTTCCCAGTAACAAGAGTACATTGACATGGCTCATTTTAGCCTCACCTAAAGAAAAACCTGGCAAGAAGCTCCCTGTTCTTTTTCACTCCAGCTTTTCTCCCACAGTGGGGGAAGTTGAAATAAATGCAATCAAATTTCCAATCAGCTGGCAAAAAATGCTCCTTCAGTTTTGTGCAGTCAACACAAAAGAGAACTTTAGCACCTGGCATGGTAAAAGAAAAATGATATGTAAGATACTAGGAGATCATGCAATACACATTTTAATGGGCACTTGAAAAAGGCAGAATCTTTATTATTATCATTATCTTAATGAGACACTGCCTGGAAGGGTATTCCCAATGCAACAAAGGTAACAAGTGAAAGCAAATTTATATATTCTTTAGGCTTGAATTTGCAGGGGTCCTCACCCAATACCCACATCACAGTTCCTTGCTTCAGGACAAGGTCTTCCACAAATTAATTCACCTAAACCTGATTGTTGTGCCCACCAGTACACAGCAGATACAATAAAAAGCTTCAAATGACTCAAGAAGCAAGTCAAGCTAGACTGAAACAAGATCCTTTCCAGCTCTCTAAATGTGCCAAGAATGTAGATGACAATGCTGTAACTGATTCCTTTTGACTGTGTGACTGTGGCCTGGCTAACGTGGAGCCATGATTTGTTTTCATTTAACTGCTCTGGGAAGTTACTGAACAAGTGGAACAACTTCCACAAGCGCAATCCAATTTTTCCTTTCCCTCCTACAGTTTCTAAAAATGTTTTTATTTTTCGATTTTGTTCAACTTGCTCTAATCAGATATTGTGAAAATGCAACCGTGGCTTCTGCACACCATTCATTTCCCTGGTCCCTTAATTCTGCTTCTTCCATCTCACCTACTGCAGGGCAAGTCCAACTTGCTATGAAGAAGAGAACAGATGGACCTCCAGTTACTTATTTAGAAGGTTTACATGTCTAGGCAGGATCCTAGCAACCCCATTTATCCTGTGGCATCCCAGCAAACCCCATTATCAGAGTCCCAAGAAGCCAATTTGCTCTGGTGAAAATAGTTCTCCAACAACAGCCATCAGAAATTATGCAACAAACAACATTTCTTTTTTGATTGTTCTTCTTCCTTTTACCTCTATCCCTCAGATATTGTATGTTGGACTTGGCAACAGCTTGTCTAGTTGCAGTAGCTTCACTCTCATAGCAGGTAGCAACAATGTGAGCCTCACAGTTCCTTGCTTCACACAAACTGGCAGAGAAGGAAAAGTTTCCTTCTCCAACTAGGAGGAGACAGGGCTGATGATGCAGAGGCCTCATGGTGACAAAACTTTAAGTGGAGAGAAATGTAATAAAAATAATTATTTTATTTATATCCCGTCCATCTGGCTGCGTTGCCCCAGCCACTCTGGGTGGCTTCCAACACATATAAAAACACAATAAAACATCAGGCATTAAAAACAAAAAATAAAGGAATCAGGTTGGTTTCAAAAACATCTAGAGTTGTCTCTAGTCAGCAAAAGCAGCATTTGTTAATAATATCCACCAGGCCAGCCTAGCTGACATGACAGAAACATAGAAAATCCTTTGTACTGGTCAAAAATTCAAGTTCATAAGCAAGCAAGTATTCTAAACATACACGAATACATGCTGAAAAAAAGGTGTATGGTTACAGGAAGCCGGAGAATAAGCCAAGATGTGAATCAAACTAGCAGCAAGCGGTTTATATTGTTTCATTAATCATGTTAATTCAATGCTGTGGTTTAGCACACCTTCATTCCTTATACTCCCAACACTGCAAATATTCTGTACAATTTTTGTTTTTTTAAAAAATACTAATAATGAAGAGTACAGTAAAGATTGAGGATTAAAAAATTAGTAAATTTAGAAAAGCAAGTCCTCCTGGCTCCCTAAAGGTTGTATATACAGGTGAGAAGATCCCCCCTCCTTGAAGCAATGGTGATTTGGTATGAGACTGTAGTCACTCAGTACCTCACACTGAGATTAGGGGAGAGAGAGATCCAGGGTCAATACCCCAAAGCCATGAGGTGACCTTTCTTCAGCTAGTCCACTCCACTCTGCTGCCCTTCAGACGCTGCTGGGAGTACGAAGCCCCTTCATTCCTGACCAGTCCTTGAAAGCATGCTGTGAGAGAACAAGCCGGAGGAGGTTGAGCTGGGAGAGAATTACGTATACACCGCCTTGGAGCTCCTTCACGGACGGGCAGGATATACTGTATGCAGTGGTTTTCCCCCTAAAAAAATGTTTAGGGTTACTCTCATTTTGACTCAAGAAAATCACAATTTTATAGTTCAATTCGGGAAAAATAAAAACAGTAAACGGACAAAAGTACAAAGATTCACAAAATGTTTAGGAGGTGTATGCGTACCCATGCGTACCCCCAGAAAAAAAAGCACTGACTGTACATAGCTGTCAGTATTCCCTTTTTTTGCGGGAAATCCCCTTATTCCAGCGCCATTTCCCGCTGCTATCCCGGATTGTTAGATATCCTGTAGACTGTCCCTGGGACAGGTGAGGCTGCTGATCCCTTATTTTCGAGGCTGCTGATCCCTTATTTTCAAATCTGAAAGTTGACAGCTATGTGACTGTATGTAAACAAAGAAATAGGGGATTCCTAGGGGGCGTGGCATAGGACCCTCCCTCCCGCAGAGGGCATAAAAGAGGCAAAGGACTGTTGCCCCCCGCCCCACGCCTTTTCCTTTCTTCATTGGGTCTTTTAACCCACTTAGGTCTCCCCGCAAACACACCTTTCCACTCTCCCGAAGCCGGCGTCACGGTATGTTTACGTCACTTCCGCCAGCGTGCGCCCTTCGCTTCCGGCGCGCGCCGTTTGGGCGGTTGCCTTGGAAACGGCTTCCTGCTTTTCTTCCCCCTTACTCCGCCTTTTTATCAGGTGGGCATAGGGAAAGGGCCGGGCTCCGCTGAGACCGAGGGGAGGATGGAGCGGGGCAGGGGAGGGGGGGCGGAAGGGAAGGGGCCACCTGGCGAAGGGAGCTGAGGAGAAAAGGAGTCTTTAGGGATGGCTGCTAAAATGGAGCCACCATATTCAGATGCAGCCTACCATCTTTTCCTGTTCTTAACCTTCCTTCATTCGGGGTTTTTTTCCCGACAATTTACAAAATAATTTTTATTAATTTTCAATTACATTCCAATAACAGCCACATTATACCAATACCAATTTATAATACAATTACTAATACCAATCATTCAGATACCGAATTATATAATTTAGGTGCCCCCCCCCCGTGTGCTAGAATGGATGGTTTGATGATTTTCTTTATTTCTGCGTTCCAAAATCTTATTAATTTCAATTACATTCCGATAATGATAATCCCTTATACAACAATTGCAATATTAAAAATAACATTCAATGATTTATGCCATCATCATCATTTTTTGGACAATATTATTGAGGCCATCACAGCTAACAGGAGAGCACGAAAGCCTCGGAAGCAGCAAAATTAAATAACAAAATAAGGGAACTTTTTAATATATACAAAGCACATGTCCATATCACACAGGTGGACATAGGTCTCCACAGCAACTATGTTAGGAAGATTAGTCTGAGAGTGACTGGCCAAAGTTCTTCCACTAGACAGACTCTTCCATCTGATCCAGCAAGGTGATTCTTTGGTTGGGCTCAATGATGCATTGCTCGGGGGGGAGGGGTGCAGTACTGTTCAATGCACATTTATTAGAAGTGTGCCCTAATAGCCTCCATGGTGCTTACAAGTGTGCATAGGCTTGTACAAAAAAAGTTAAATGATCCCTGGACGGTTAAGTCTAGTCAAAGGCGACTATGGGCTTGTGGCGTTCATCTTGCTTCAGGCCAAGGGAGCCGGCGTTTGTGCGCAGACAGCTTTCTGGGTCATGTGGCCAGCATAACTAAACTGCTTCTGGCACAACGGAACACCATGACGGAAACCAGAGCGCACGGAAACGCCATTTACCTTCCCACCACAGCGGTACCTATTTATCTACTTGCACTGGCGTGCTTTTGAACTGCTAGGTTGGCAGGAGCTGGGACAGAGCAACAGGAGCTCACCCCATTGTGGGGATTCGAACCGTTGACCTTCTGATCGGCAAGCCCAAGAGGCTCAGTGGTTTAGACCACAGCGCTACCCGCTGTAGGCTGTTTTCAAATCAGGTAACTTGCTCACCCCTAAAAGCTTTTTCAAAAGAGCAATAAGGGAGTGAAACCTGCCTTTAAGCATGCACAGATTGCCTTCCATTTTGTTTCTGAGCCATCAGAACCCATCAGAAGGGAGGGGGAGAGCTTTCAGGTACACACTCTGAGTGTATGGCAGGATTGTGTTCCAGTATGTAATATGCACACCTTTGTGCTAATAATGTTTCTGGGAAATTAAATATACAGTGGTGCCTCGCAAGACGAAATTAATTCGTTCCACGAGTTTTGTCGTCTTGCGATTTTTTTCGTCTTGCGTAGCACGGTGTCGGGAAAGTTTTGGAAAAGCTTCAAAAATCACCAAAGTCTTTAAAAACCTCAAAAAAGGCTACCACACCGCGTTCTATGAGTTGCTCCTCGAAGTCAAGTCGCAAATGTATTAACGGTGTTAAGAAAAAGGAAACAAACTTGCAAGACTTTTCCGTCTTGCGAAGCAAGCCCATAGGGAAAATCGTCTTGCAAAGCAGCTCAAAAAACAAAAAACCCTTTCATCTAGCGAGTTTTTTGACTTGTGAGGTATTCGTCTTGCGAGGTACCACTGTATCAGGCAATATTGTGCTTATTTAATTTTAAGATATTAAGATACAAGGCTTGTAGCACTGGGGTGGTATTCAACTAAGTTTTATTCAGAGCAGTTCCATTGAAATTAGGGGATGTAACTTAGACATGTACGTTAATTTCAGTGGGGCCACTGAATACTACCCTTAATTAAAAAGATGGTTCTAGGGAACTCGAGCGGTGAGTTGTACAAATCATTTTTTAAATAATTCTAGGTTTCAAATCTCATCAGTATGCAATTGAAGTGGCTGCTTCAAACATTTGGTTGTATTTCTGCCTGCATATTATTATGCAGTGCAACCTTTTGAATGTGTTTAGGCAGATCTAAATGCTGCTTATTTCAAGGGGCCTTACTCACTAGTGAGGCTGTATAGGAATACAGCTGTATCTTAGTGCTTGACCTCCTTGATGACAAGGTCCGGTCATACTGATTTTTGGATAAAAGTCTCTCACCCCATGGATGCTCAGAAACCAGTGACATCAGGACTAGCTGATGATCAGGAAGTTGCATCACAAACAAAAGCAATCAGTTTTTCTGGCTGCCTGCTCCAGTTCCTCCTGCCACCTTCCTTTGTAAGGGCTGCCAAAAAAAAACCTTCAGCACTTTTTAACATCAGATACAGCCTTGAACTTCACTCTACTGAGGCTGCCCATTTTGGCTAAGATCCTGAGGCAAAATTACAATTAAAACCAAGACAAATAAGCAAGAAAATGTGGAGAAATTTGGATGAGCTCAGTTCTTCAGTTTTATCAGCTACAACCTCTTCTGATTCAGAGGTATTCCCCTACTGAACTCCAGTTCCAAATTTCAGCACAGTCCATCCTTCTAACCTATCCACATGATGAAACCATCCCCATATGTTTTGGTTAAAATAAGATCTTTCAGCAGTTAATATCACTGTCCAGTGTCAGGGAATCAGACTGATTTTGGTGTGGGAAAAGAACTAGAGAAGCATAGGGCTGAAAAACAAATTTTAAAAGAATGTAAAGTTATGTTCTAAAATGTAGAAATAGTTAAATCCCAAGTGTAATGAGGAAGTAAGTCCCACTAAAAGTGGGTTTTCAGGAGTACACAAGTTTATACTTCGATTGCAAGAGGTGTAGTAGAGGAGCATGTACCATATTAGTTGCATAAAATAAATATTAAAAAATAATATTAAAGGAGAAACATAATTTTAGGAACAGTGATTAATATTGTCTTTTTTTCCTGAGACATACCTACACAACAGACAAGGAGTATGTGCCTGTGCAGGTTTATTCAAAAGTAAGTTGTACTGATTTCAACTGAACTTTGTCTAGTAAGTCAGTGTGTATGGGTTTGCAGTGTTAAAAGGTCATCTTGAACATGTTTGCTCTGATGTAAACCACTATATTGGGGCATACAGTGTGTGATTAGGATTATAGCCTTAACCTTCTTTAATAGTTACTTCCTTAGGGGGTATTAGGAGTTTTCTGAGAAGGCAGCTCAGGACATCTTCAAATACGGTTCCCAGAATTTGCTGAGAGAAGACATGGCACTTGATAGGTTTGTAGTGTAGTTGTGCCTTCCCTAATACAAGTTGTTTCCTGTCCTCATTTGACGTTTCTGTCTCTTCCTAGGACATGTCCCTATCTTGCTTCTTTAACCCCCATCATGGCTGTTTATTACGTGCCAATGGTCATGGAGAAGTGTGGACAGATTGGAACAGCTCTGCCAAATTCTTCCAGTATGGCTGGAGGTGCACCACCAACGAAGACTCCTACACCAACAAAACCCTCTTGGGGAACTGGAACGAAGAGCGCTATGACATTCGGAAAATACTGCAGCCCAAGCCTCTCCCTTCCCAGGTCAGAGTACCATATTTACATTGCCCTGTTTGTTAGCTTGTTAACGTAAAGTGAAATATTCAGCCCTCTGGCACAGGGGCGACTAACCTGCGGCCCTCTGGATGTTCTTGGACTTCCATTCCCATCAGCACCAGCATCCAGTTAGGGATTAAGGTAAAGGTAAAGGTACCCCTGCCCGTACGGGCCAGTCTTGACAGACTCTAGGGTTGTGCGCCCATCTCACTCAAGAGGCCGGGGGCCAGCGCTGTCCGGAGACACTTCCGGGTCATGTGGCCAGCGTGACAAGCTGCATCTGGCGAGCCAGAGCCGCACACGGAAACGCCGTTTACCTTCCCGCTAGTAAGCGGTCCCTATTTATCTACTTGCACCCGGGGGTGCTTTCGAACTGCTAGGTTGGCAGGCGCTGGGACCGAACAACAGGGGCGCACCCTGCCGCGGGGATTCGAACCGCCGACCTTTCGATCGGCAAGCCCTAGGCTCGGAGGCTTTTACCCACAGCGCCACCCGCGTCCCGAGTTAGGGATTAGGGGAGATTAATTCAGCAGCATCTGGTGGCCAAAGGTCCTCCACCCATGCTCTAGTACGGGGGTCAGCAAGGTTTATCTTGCCTGGGCTGGATTGTGCCCCCGCGTGAGTGTGCACCCCCATGATTTTTGGCTTCTGCGCAGACGCGATTTTTGGCGCCGTGGAAGCGAGGCGCTGCGCTGTGCCAGTTTAGCGCAGCGCGTGCGCAGGCAACTGGGTTCGGGGGCAGCTCGTGGGCAACTCAAATGACCTCTATGGGCCACTTCCTGCCCATGGGCCTTAGGTTGCTGACCCCTGCTCTAGTACTCTGTGTTTAATTGATCTTATAACCTGTTGAATGATTCCAGCCCAACTTTAGAAGAGCAAGTGTGAAGATAAGATACTTGAACTGCTTTACTTCCCTGTTTAGCCACGGTGGTTACTGGTCTCTGGAGTCCATCATTCTCTTTCAGGCTAATCTATGTCACAGTGTTGTAATGAGGATTTAAAAGGCGGGGGCACCATGTAGGCTCCTTGAGGGAAAGGTGGGATATAAATGTTCAGTTGTATTTTATATTTGAAGGGGGGCTTGGCTGACCTAAATCAGGCATCAACTAGGAGTTCATGTCTGTTGCTCCAAGCTCCAAGGAAGAAGCACAAATGTAATAGTAGGCAGCATTCCTGTTTATGATATTGTCCTTCCTTGCTTTCCGACTGTTCAGTTCCAGTTTATTTTCTTTGGCTGCAATCCTATTTACACTTCCCCGGGAAAGAGTCCCACTGAACACTTTTTGAGAGTAAACTTGCATAGGATTGCAGTATTAGCCATTTCATCCCACCAAACCTTCCACCACCACGCAATACCTAATTATACCCAGCCTTTCTGCCTCGCTAAGCCAAGCCAAGCTGGTGTTGCTTTGGTGATAAGGCTCGTCCTCTTAAAAGTTCTACATGATTTTTTGTCTAGAAAAAAAAAGGCAAGTTAAGGAGGGTATGATAGAGGTGTACAAAATTATGCAGAATACAAGTATATGAAGTTGCATGTGGTGTGAATTAAAGGGTAAAGAGGCATTTATTTCCCACAATACTGGAACCCAGTGTGGTCATCCAATTAATATGAATGAGACTTGAGACAGACAGAAGGAAATTCTTCTTCACAGTTAAACTATGGAATTCCCTCCCACAAGATGTTGGGAGGGCCACCAACTTAGGCCTTATCTACACTTAGCTTTTGCCCGGTCTACCAGGCACGGATCCGTGTCCAAGAGATTTTATTTTTTTTAACTTGCGATAACCCGCTCTTAAAAGCTGAAGCACAATAATTGGCAATTCGGGTTTCCTGCAGATTGCTGCGAAGCAAATAATAATAATAATAATAGGTGCTTGAACACGGAGGTTAAAGCGTGGACCATGCCTGAAAAGTGTGGAGGAAAGGTAAAAAACTGGACTTACCCCACGTCCCCACAAGCTCCAAAGGAACCCACTGGCGCAAGTAATTCTCTGACCCCACCGGAGGAAAGAGAGCTTTTAGCCACCTTTGGCGACCTTCCACCGAGGGAACAACAAGAAATAATTGATAGACTAGAAGCACTTAATCATCAGCTCATACATGTCCAGAAGAACGGAAAAGTCCTGCCCACTTTTCAGGATAACCTTGCCAGCTTTTCGGAGTCGTGTTTTAAGGAAGTAGGAAGTCTTCCATACCTCAGTCCAGCTCCTAAACCCATGCCTCCCCCACTTGTGGGCAAATCCCACCGACGCTTGGCAGACCCAGGTTCTGCCTCACAAGTTGGCCTCTCATCCCAACTCTTGATAAATTTTGACTCGCCCCCCAAGAGTCCCCCGCCGAAGAGTGTAACTCAGAGTCCTTTCCACCAAAACAATTCCTTACCATCCAATCCATCAATGCCGGAACTGGAGTCCTCATATTCCCCTGAGCGGCATAGACCCGACATACAAACAGTACCTGTACGTCAAGCATCCCCAGTACCTTCGCTAGCATCAGGTCAGGGGAGTGTTCCACTTACATCAAAAAATGACCCGGATTGGACTGAAGACCCGGCCGGACATATAAATCAAATGGTTTCATCGGCGACCTTTAGACCTCGCGGTGGGGCAGTCTCAGCAAATCCTGTGGAGTCTCCCACTGAAGTGTCCGCCCTTGGGCCAGCCAGTGGGAGACCCGTTCTGTCGCCCCAGTCTGAACACCTCACTACCAACTTCAAGATTAGGCACCTCCAGCAGGTGCCTGCCATGCAAAGTAAAATAACTGACTTTTTTGTGGGGTCTGCCCTGCCTCCAAAGGACTCACTTCTCTCCCTGAATTGACAGCGAATTGAACACAACAGGAACTCCCCCCTATCAGTCCTCAGCTGGAACATCGCGGGCTGGAGGGGAAAAAAACATGAGCCAGAATTCTTGGAGTTTATTAACCTGTTTCATATCATCTTGTTCCAAGAATCGTGGGAAGTAGAGAAAATTGTCCTAAATGGCTTTGAGCTGCTAGAACTCCCTGCCTGCCCCTCCCTGAAAGGAGGCCGCCCTAAAGGGGGCCTAATAATAGGCATCTCCCTCAACCTACATTCTAAATTTACTCTAGTACAGGCCTTGCCTCCCTACGCCCTTACCGGGCTGATTGCGGGGGGAAAGATCTCGCTCCTAGTTACAAATGTTTACTTGCCACCTGGGGGTTCTTCCCTCGAACTGGGCTCTAAATGGGGCTCGCTAGAAGAGCATTTGCTCTCATGCTATGTTAAGTTCCCTAACACCCCGGCCATTATAGGTGGCGATTTTAATGCCCGCACAGCAGCAAACTGGGACTCGCTGACCAAAGCCAAATGGTGGGTTACCCCAAACCTTGATAATTACGACCTGGAACATATCATGAGGAGAACTTCTAAAGACCACAGAGCAAATGAGGCTGGGGTACTCCTCTATCAAATGGCCATCCGTTTGAATTTGGTCCCCTTAAATGGCACATGCCTCCTTGATATTCCAGGGGATTTCACTCACCTGAGCGTTAAATCAAACAGCGTCCTCGATTACCTGTTGGTCTCTAGGGATCTACTTAAGTGTATTTCCACTTTTAAGATCGAGAATGTACAATTTAGTGATCATCTTCCCCTTGTAGCTAAGCTTTCCCTGAACTGGCAGCCGGAGGCTCATAGACATGCGACCCAGATGGTAACCAACGAATCTCTCCAAGTAAGAGGAATCAAATGGTCGGAGACCCAGGCTCAAAGGTACCAGGAATTCTTTCAAAAAGAAATCCTCGGGCCCCATTCCAACATAGGCTCTGCCTCAGACGAGCATAGCATAGTGTTGAAGCGCTTCCACCATCATACGACTGATCTTACATCCTTCTTTAGGTTACCACCCAAAAATTTAAAACGAATCGAGTATACTCACGGTGCCCCCTGGTATAATTCTCAGTGCAAACAAGCAAGACAGCGCCTCCGTGCTATATATAATGTATATAAGATCTCCGATGCATCTACTCTGCCAGCTAGTTATGCCCAAGCCAAGCAAGTCTACAAACGCACGCAGAAAACTGCCAAGCGTGAATGGCAACATAATCGTTGGCAGGCTTTGATTACTGCTTCAAAACCACACAGATCCAGGGAATTCTGGTCTTTGATTAACAGAAGGGTGAGGAAATACCCAAGGGCAGTCATCTCTGCACTGACATGGGAATTGTTCCTGAAGAAATGCTTCTCACAGGCAGATGCTCCCTCCGACCATCTGATGCATCTGTTTACCCACCTACCTATTTGGCCTCCCACCGATCCTGACGAAATAGCCAAGCTAATAGCTCAGCTGAAACCGGGCAAAGCCCCTGGGCCCGACCTGATCCCTGCCGAAGCCATCAAACTACACCCAAAATGGTGGGCCGGCATCTTGGCCAAAACCTTCGATGCAATCAACGCTTCCGGTCTCATCCCCAAAATATGGAAGGAGGCCATTATAGTACCAATTCATAAAAAAGGTTCTCCAACGGAGCCGGAAAACTACCGCAACATCAGCCTCCTTTCGATCATAGGGAAAATTTATGCCAGCTTTTTGCTGACTAAATTATTGCGATGGGTAGATGAGACTAACCAGATTGGCCACGAACAAGCAGGGTTCAGAACTAAACGTTCTACAACAGATCATGCAATAATTCTTTATCATCTGGCACGGAAGTACTCCTCCCCTCCCCGGGGCTACCTCTGTGCTGCCTTCTTAGATCTAAAGGCAGCCTTTGACAGCGTTCCTAGAAATATTCTTTGGGAGAAACTTGCGAAACAGGGCATTGATAGAAGACTCTTATGGCTCATAAGTCAGCTCCACGAAGGTACCCTTGCCAGAGTGAGACTTACTCCTGCGGGCGACCTCACAAATTCGATACCAATAAACAAGGGAGTGCGCCAAGGATGTATATTGGCTCCCTGCCTATTCAACCTTTTCATCAGCGACATGCGAGCACCCCTAGTTAACTCATCTCCAAGTACACACGCGCCTAGACTAGCGGATTACCGCTGCCCACTCCTTTTATATGCGGACGACGCGGTAATTCTATCTTATACACGTGTTGGACTAACCAGAGCTCTGAAGATCTTTGCCACATATTGCCAACTCAACCAATTAACCATCAACCATGCTAAGTCCAAGATTCTGATTTTCTCCAGAAGCCGGAGATTATACAAATGGAAGCTTGGTGGAGCAAAAATAGAGCAAGTCCTAAAATTTCAATATCTAGGAGTTATTTTTCAATACAACTTGGGATGGAAAGCTCAAATTCAACACCTACTTAACAAGGCCAAAACCCTGTCATATGCGCTCCTCCGATTTTTCTTTTCGGACGGAGCTCTGCATGTTCCCTCGGCCCTAAAGGTGTTCAAGGCAAAAGTGGTTGCAGTGCTTGCTTATGCTGCCCCGCTCTGGGCCGTGATGACAGATCTTGCTCCCCTTGAGACTCTGCAAAGCCAATTCCTACGTCGGCTCCTAATGCTCCCCCTGTGCGTAAGCAACGCAGCCATGCGACTAGAATTGAAGATCGCATCCTTAGAAACTTGCCTGTGGAAGCAAGTCTTCAATTACTGGTTATCATTGTGGCATAGATTACCAAACCATTACCTTGTCCAATGCTTATGGCGAGATGAATTCTCCAGCCTTTGGACTAGTAGAATTCATGCCAAACTCCTGAGTTATGGAATCTCTCCCTCAGATTCCCTAAAACTAGACCAAATCACTGCTCAAAGACTGATCCGTCAAAGACTGGATGACATCGACTTACAGCGAAATTATACGCTGGGGGGAGGTGTTTGTTCGCCCCAGAACATTGGTATCACTTTAACTTATTGCGTTCCATCATACCTCTCCTCCCTTTCGACTGTTGCCCATAGACTGGCCTTCACCAAAGCGAGGTTCAATGTTTTCCCCTCCAATGTCCTGAGACATAGATTCTCAAAGGGCCAAGCCCCCGCCACGTGCGAATGTGATAAGGTGACGCCGGAGTCGCTCCAGCACATTATGTTCACTTGCCCCTTGTTCAATGTGCCACGGGCAAATTTGTTGGGATCAATCATACAGAAACTAGAGGGTACCCCACCAAAATTCCACCTTGCCCAAATCTTGCAGGATAAGGATTCCCACACGACCCTGAAAGTGGCTAGGTTCCTGGTCGCTGTCCTCTCCCAAAAGCGACGCCAAGGAGCGCTACAAGCTAATTAAGGCGTAGCATGCCTTTCCATCTTATAGTATTTATTGTTATAGTGGTGTTTTAGCGACTGTTTTTTTCTTTTCCCCACGGCACAAGCTGTCACTTATGTGTTGTTTTTACCTGTATGGGCCTATGGCCGTAATAAATATTATCTATCTATCTAACTGTGGATAAGCCCTTAGAGAAATTTAAAAGAGGATTAGAGAAATTCATGGAGGTTAAGGCTGCTAGTCATACTAGATATATTCTACCTCCAGGATCAGAGGCAATATGCCTCTGCCTGAGTACCAGAACGTGAGCAAGACAGTGCTGTTACCTTCATGCCCTGTTTGTAGACTTCCCAGAAATACCTGTTTAGCCACTATGGGAATTGAGATTCTGGACTTGATGGGCATTTGGTCTGATTCAGCAGCCAGTCTCTTCTTAATGTTCTTATGGTTTCTCAGTTACCGTAAACATGCACTCAATCTGTGTTTTCCTTTTCAGTTTGCTCACTATTTTGAGTCCACCTACACATCGGACTACTCCAAGGAAAAGCCCCACAGTACAAGAAGTAGGTACATAAAACTGAAATGCAGGCACTTAATTTAAAAGCTGCAAGAGAACTTTGGGAAGATCTAGGTCTTCCCCCAGTTCTGAATCCTCTATTCTCAAATATTCCTAACAGAGCTGTCCAAATAAGAGGAATACAGAAGTGATAATGTATAATGTGTCTTGAGGGGCCAAAGTGCAGCTTAGAACAACAATAAGTAAATGACTGCCATGAGTCAAGTGTCAATGGACTCTGGTGGTGACAGCAAGGGACCTGTAGGAACACAATGAAATCCATTGCAGTACGTCCTGAAGTACTAGCAGTCTGGATGCACAATTGAATGGCGCCACCCCCATCTCCCCTGAAGTTGTCAGCTATCCGTGGGAACTGTTTCTACTTAGAAAGTGGCAGGCATCATCATCATCATTATTCATATGATTTCTTACCCATTCTTCCACCATAATGTCCCCAGGGCAAGCAACAGCAACATAAAAATGTAGAGTTAGTCCATGATTTAGAAAGCAACAAAGACCACCCTGATAGTAAAAAGGTAAAGGGACCCCTGACCATTAGGTCCAGTCGTGACCGACTCTGGGGTTGCGGTGCTCATCTCGCTTTATTGGCCGAGGGAGCCGGCGTACAGCTTCCGGGTCATATGGCCAGCATGACTAAGCCGCTTCTGGCAAACCAGAGCAGCGCACGGAAACGCCGTTTACCTTCCTGCCAGAGCGGTACCTAATTATCTACTAGCACTTTTGACATGCTTTCGAACTGCTAGGTTGGCAGGAGCAGGGACCGAGCAACGGGAGCTCACCCCATCGCAGGGCTGATCGGCAAGTCCTAGGCTCTGTGGTTTAACCCACAGCGCCACCTGTGTCCCAACCCTGATAGTGCAAGAATGTAAATTTGGAAAATATACATGATTGCATATGCTGAAATTTGCTGGTATGCAAATTGGAAACTGCACCCAGAGAAATGGGTGGATTCAGGTGCAGAATCTTCTGTACTGCACTTGTGATAAAGCAGCATGTCCCATATGACTTTCCTAATGTGCCTTCTCAGGTATTCAGCTCCCTTTTAGATTGGCAGAAGCTAAGACTGCCTTTGGCTGCTGTCGAGTTTGTTCAGTGCAATGTTTTCATTCCGCTTTACTGGCTTGCAACTGCCCTGCCTTCTTTTGAGCTCCTCAGCCTTGTCCTCTCTCTGCTCTTAGGAGTTATGCGAGATGTTCACTGGTTCCCTGGACACCAGCCAGAGCTGGAGCCTCCTCCAATCAAGCCAACTGCCCGGTCATGCTACATGATAGATTATGAGCCTCCACAGAAGAAGGGAGCCTGCTGCTTGGTTGACACGAAGCCCAAAGAACAGCAAGGGACTCCGCTGAAGCAGTAGGACTAGAGTAGGTCTCTCTTCCGCTTCAGGACAGCCGGGGTTGCTTGAAAGGCCCTGCCTGTGTGACCTAGTTTCCCCCTCTTTTCCCCACCCACCCACTTAAAAGCTAGGCTGCCATGCAGCAACTCACAAACCATGTCTGTGAATAAAAGAGTCTGCGTCAGAGTGAGAAGGAGATTCTTCTTACTTCTCATGGCTTGGGGTGTGTGTGTGTGTGTGTGTGTGTGTGTGTGTATAAAGTTTTTACTGTACTTTCCCTCTGACGTTTTGTGAAGCACGACCTAATTTTTGTTTGTTAGCTGTTACATTTGTTTTTCTGTGTAGCCAAAGCTAGAAGAGCCAGTAAAATTATTTTCCCCCAACACTGTTTGTGGTTGCTCTGCCAGAGCAGAAGGGAACTCTGCATGTGCTCAGAGCTATTCTCCCTCTCTTTTTTTTAACACAAGTTTGCATGCTGTAGGGCTGAGCCCTGTCTCAAATTGACCCTGCCCCGAAGATTGAGGAAAGAAGCCGCCAGATGCTTACTCATCGGTTTATTTGTTAGTAAACAAGCTCATTTGCTTAGCACAAATAAATAAGAACAGCCAGCCAGTGACACTGCCTGCTGTTTGCATCCAATGGAAAGGCTTTCTTGGGTATAAAAGAGTAGGTCTCAAAGGGCATGTCTACTTCCTTTGCGCTGCTGGTACGGCAGATTTCTCCTCCCTGGCAATGGGGATGGTGCGCTCTGGGACTTCCATGGCTTTTCTTGGTCCATTCACTGTCAGGACACCATCCGAAGAGAGGGAGGAGGTGATGGAGAGGGGATCCACATCAGCTGGGATCCTGTACTTCCTGTTGAACTCCCTGGCAATGAAGCCGTGTTCATCCTTTTCAAAAGAAAAGGGGGCGAGGGGAAGAAGAACATAACCATATATCTGTCTGGTTGCAAATGGTTTACTGTAAGGGGAGCTCATAGTTCATTGTTAAGACACACTCTTCCCATTCAGAAAGTTCAGTCCCCTGGGATACCCCAGTTTAGGGGTATCAGGGCCTGGAAAGACCACTGCCAGAGACCTGGGAAAGCTGCTGCCAATCAGAGTGGCCAGTACTAAATGAGCTGGGCCAATGGTCCTTTAACATGGCACTGTTAACGTCTCCTTCCTTGATGGGCAACCTTGTCTAGAATGGGTCAATTTCTCCTTCCTTCCACCCTGCCTCCCATCGCCCTGCCAGCTGCGCTCATGCCAAGACCAGACCAACCTGGCGCTCCTCATGTTTTCCGTGAACTTCAATCACGTCTCCCAAAACCTTGACTTTTAGCTCCTCAGGTGAGAAATGCTTCACATCAAGGTTTACAGAGAACTTGTCCTTATCCAGTCGCATCTGCTAACAAAAGAGTCTAGTTAGGGCAGTTATAATATTTAATGTTTACTAATTATTAGGTGCTGTATGTGGATTTAAAACTAAATGAATAAATGTGTATGTGGAGCAGATAATTAGATCATTAGATGGTAGATCATTTGCTATTCCACATCCCCAAAGTGCAAGACTGTTCTGTATGCTACTTTCATTGTAGCATGTGGGTTAAGGTCAGGCAACATTTCTTCATGTTGAGGGCTGCAGTCCTCCAAAGGAAATCTCTTGGAACCTGTACTGGCAGTGAACCACGTTCCCATTCTTCCCTCTTTCTGTCTCTACCCTTCAAACACACCCACCACATAGAAACAGGAAGAGAGTTGGCTGTTGAGTGAAATCTTTTCTATAAGCCTTCCTCACATGGCAATTGTGCTTAGGAAAAAAAGTTCCCATTGATGTGAATGAGGTTTTTTGTTCAAAGTCTAATTTCAGGGGGATAGGTGGGGCTGCTGCCCATCTCCACAGCTGACTGGGAGTGGGGCAGTGAGATAGAGGTCATGCATGTTGGGTTTCCCCAGCCACTCCGGGTGGTTCCCAATAGAATATTTAAAAACATGATAAATACATACATAAATATGAGGGTTTGTTCCCCCTTGTAACATTGATTGGCAGTAGACTCAGGACAGACAAAAGAAAGGACTTCCCCACACATTGCATAATTAACTTATGAAATTCACCCCATGGGATGGGATGATGGCCAGAATATTTGCTTGCTTTACAAAGGGATTAGACAAGACTATGGGGGAGGAGAGTTCATGCCTAACTTACTGCGCAAGGTTGTTTTGAGGACCAGAGGGAGGCAGCTTGAGCTTTTCGGAGCAAAGGTGGGATATAAATATAATAAAAATACTAGTCATGGGGGCTATATAAAACCTCTTCAGTGTATCACTGAATGCCAGTTGCTTAGGTAGCATCAATGAGGGATGCTTATCGCCTTCAGGCCCTGCTTGTGGGCCTTGCAGAGGCATCTGATTGGCCACTGTGAGAAACAGGTTGCCAGGCATAGATGGTCCTATCCAACCAGGCTCTTGTGTTCTTAATACAGAGAAAATTATGGCTTTGATGTGATGGATTCTCAAAACCATAATGCTACAAATGAGCTGTGCTGGCATGGAAACTCTACAACACAAAACAGGCAGAAGGGATCCACCAGTGTAGCTACCAGAACTGTTCCCCATGGCGTCTCCTTTTCCCCTTGCAACTCGCTACCACTGGAAAGTCCCCCCCCCACCTGGCACCCAATTCTCTTCCTCTGTTTTTAGATCCAGGTTCTTTGAAAACAGATCTGTTTGACTTACCACAATTTACCCTTCTTGGCTTTTATTCTCCCTCACCTACTTCCCCATTGTGTCTTGTCCTTTAGGTTGTAAGAGCCTGCGTTGTTGGTTTTTAATTTTTGTACAGCATCTAGCAATTTTAGGGTGTAATAATAATGTGAAAATGCATATTGCATGGTACAGCTGCATCCTAATGAAAAAAATATAATGAAAGAAATTCCATGCGTGGAATGATTAACAACTGCAGTAAGACAATAACAATGCTAACTGTCAGCCATAAAATACAGGATGGCTAATCCAACAGGGCCTAAACCTCAAAGTCACACAGAGTTGGGAAGGACCTTGGAGGTCATCTGGTTCAACCCGGTGCTCAGTGCAGGATCAAGCTGTAGCTACAGGATCTCTTGACAGGTGGACATCCAGCTTCTGCTTAAGTGGAGGATGCCCACCACCTCCCGAGGCTGGCTGTTCCACTTTTGATCACTTCTTGCCCCTTAGGAAGCTTCTTCTCACATTCCCCATTACAATTCCTAGTCCTTCACAGACATCTTGCCCTTGTTGACTACCATATTCACAGTGTGAGTGCATTCTCCGCAGCAGCCTCCCAGGCTACAGAACGTTGCTCCCTTTTTTGACTCTGTATTGCACAAATCCATCAGGAACTTCTCCTGTGTGCGTCCCATGGAAATGGATACTCTCACACAGCTTTGATTATGACCTACACAGAAGAACTCCCTTTTGTCTTTCTGCCTCCCCCCCCTGCAAGCAATCCTCAACCGTGAGGTTTCTGTTTCCAGAGTTTATCATTCAAATGAAGTCTACTTTTAGATCTAAATCTGGCTGTTTTCTGTGGGCTTTCCTGTGTGAATAATCTTCACAGATGACTCATTCCAGTTTCAAAGGTATTCTTAGCGTCACTGGAGAAAACAACAGGTTTTTGTGGCGGGGTACGTTAAGGGGCAGATATCGATTTTCTTCGCCTTCAATCTTGGCGAGTCTTTATGTTCCCTTTGTCAAGGATTTTTACGTCACCCGTTTAAGCTCATAGTAAATATGCAGTTAAATAAATTAACTGATGAAGGGCACAAACTGCAAAGGGGAACAGGTGTCCCTCCACCTGGTTCAAGGACTGCATGGGAGCTGGGGGAAGTTTAGCAAGAGAAAATATTTTTACCTCTGAGAGTCTGCTCTCAAGCCAGCTGGGGTTCCTTAGGATGGAGGGTCTCAAAAAGAAAGAGCTGAAAGCTGAGGAGCTGGGGAGCAGTTCAGATTCCACAAGGTGCTCCCCAAAAGTCTGGTTGAAGATGCGGCTGGGCAACAAGCTTGATAGCAGGGGTCTGCGGAAGAAGGGGTGGTGAACGGTGATATCCATCTGAGTTGGTCCCGGAGGAGACAGTGGGCAGCAGTGCACTCCAGCAAGCCAAGAGCCAGGGCTTTATATGCTCCCTGGTGCCAGGCTGTGCCCAGGCTGAATTCTCTGGAACGGTGATGTCAGGCATTTCATTATCCCTGTTCTCCCATCTGCACCATTCAGCGCTGGCTGGCAGATTAGCTGGAGATTTGTACATCCCACTCAGCACCCACATTGCCAAGGAAAAAGAACACAGCTAAATTCTAGCAGGTCAGCATGAAATCCTCGCGCCCCCTCCCTTCTTATTATATATTTTTTATATTTTAAAAAAAGCCCGGTCAGGCCGATCTGGTATTCTCTCCTACTTCGGATGCCAGCGCCACTCACACAGTTACTATCTTTGTCTCACACAGAGAGAAACAAGGCACTGTTGTATCTCTGTTGCTTGGAATCTTCCGATTTCCATTGCAGCCGGGCTGTGTCCTTCCTCTCCACTCTGGCTGTGTTGAAACAGAAAGGTTACTCAATGAGACGTCTTGGTCCCTGTGATGTAAAACTGATGCTCAAAGAGTTGCCCAAGAAAGTCAATTTGTGGCAGAATCTGCACAGGCAAAAAGGAAGTCCCATTCCACTCAGTGCGACCAGCGCTTAGAAAACTCACTGCCACAAGATGTGGTGGTGTCAGCAACTCCTTTGGGTGGCTTCTGTTGTTTTTAAGGGTGAGATAGATCCGTGGAAGAGATGCCCACTGCTAATAGCCAGGATATCTGAACATCCATGTGCCTCTGGTTACAAGATGGTGGAGGCAAACAGGACATACCTACTGCTTTAATGCCCTGCTTGTCATCTTCCAGAGATCTTCAGGTGGCTGCTGTTAGAAACATCATACAAGTGCAGAGGGACCTGGCAAGGATTTTTCCTCTTTCATAGAATCATAGTGCTGGAAGGTGCCTTAGAGGTAATCTAGAATGTAAGAATAGCCTGCTGGATCAGGCCAAAGGTTCACCTAGTCCAGCATCCTGTTCTCACAGTGGCCAACCAATCTAGCTTAACCCAGTGCTCAGTGCAGCATCAGCAACGGCAAGATCCATGACAGATGAATTAAATACTTTCACTGAGAGAGATCCCAGAGTTGAACCATTGGGGAGTTTCTTTAATGCTTAGCCGAAATCTGCTCTCTATTTACTTTCCAGTGATCTGTTTTAGTCCTGTCCTTTGGAGTGACACAGAAAAAGTCTTTCTTTCTTTCTTTCTTTCTTTCTTTCTTTCTTTCTTTCTTTCTTTCTTTCTTATCATTTGACCTTATTGATCTAGAAGCCTTTGCTTGCTTGAATTCCATTTCTGTTCACGTGCTCAAGAGGTTATATTGAAAGAAGGTACCTTGTTATCCGTTTGGCCTCCTTGCCATGTTTGGATCTGAACTTTTGAATGTTTGTTTACTTCCTCATACCTTTCCCTTCAAGCCAAACACTTCCCATCCCCTTTCCCTCCGATTCAGCTGCTAAGAATAAGAGCTGACTAATGCAGCCTACTGGGTTAAATTTAAAACTGGGAGTGTTAAGTCTGATTGCTCAGGCTCCTGAAAGGAGATGCAAGGCTGCAGCCAGCCATTACACCACCTCCAGCTGAGCATGACATGAATGCTGCCTGACCTGTTTCCACTCTCTCTGTTCCTCTTTCTTCGCCCCCATCCCTCCAAGGGTGTAACCCGTGCTGTGCGTTGGTGGTACCCGTAGCTGGGAATTGCCGTTTGTCAGATCTGTAGTTGTGATTGCACCTGAGCTGGGGCCTCTTGGGGAACTTGCAGGCAACAAGAAGGACCCCTCCAATAGAGCTGGCCAAGCTGAGCTATGATTGCTAAATTTACGGAAGGACTGGACATGTGTTGCCATATGCTGGCAATCATTCCCATGCCCTCCTTGAGAGCTTCTGAAAAGCATCTGGCTGGCAGCTATTGGGAATTGTCTTTGCCACGACGACGGCTTATGTTTTGTTAGCCCAAAAATGAAAAACGAACAAGGTCCCAGCCAAAGAAGAATGGCAACTTAAACTGATGGAAGATGCGCAGCTTGTGGATCTAACTTATAGAATAAGAGAAGAACATTCGTTTAAGGAAGATTGGAAAATGTTTATTGAATATGGGGGGGGGAATTGTGTACACTTGAAAACATTGGCAGCATTAAGATAAATTCAAGAGTGTAAATAAGTTTTGATGGAAATAATAATGGAATACTGAATGGTTTAGTTTATATAAAATATGCAGGGATTTATGCTCTGTAAAATGAACCATGGAAAGAGAAGAAGGGAAGTCATTGATATTTTAAAGTTGTTTAAATGAATATTCTAAATTGTGCAACAGAAAATTTAATAATATATATATATATACACACTAGGGATGGATGATTCAGTCAATTTCTGCATCTCTCTATTTCCCAAACTTCAGTCCAATTCACTAAATTTCCACATTAGTTTGCAGGGTTTTTTGAAGTCCTTGCAAAAATTCACCAGCATTTTAGTGTGCACTTCCCTTAATCCATTTTGGCAAGCAATTTCACCTAATACAATGCACTTGTGTGTCATATTTGCACTAATATTTGCATTTCTAGGAATAATTTTCCATTGGAGAGCTGCATGAAATTTGCAGGATAGCGAATTTCAAAGGAGAGAAAAATTGATGAGAAAGGCTGGTATGCTTTTATACTTTCCATTTAAAAGGGCACGGGTTCTCCCTTGAGCCATCCTGTGACAGCCAGGACCAGATGCTGCTGAAGTAGGATGGAGTTGTAAGGTGGGGGGTTGGCGGGTGGGGGCAACTTTTTGCCTGGCTGTAGCCAGCTATGGTCTCTGAGATGGCTTCCTTCTCCAGTTTCATCTCATGTAAATAACAAGGGAGACAAGATGTCTGTGCACCTGCTGCCCCAAAGGGTCTCCAATAAGTCTCTGGTTTCACATCACATCACAAATGAATACGGGATGATGAGTGCGATGGTGATGCTTCTTGCACTCTGTGAATCATTTCTACTGAGGAAAGAGTCCATCCTCTGCCTGCTTTCCTGAGGGTAAGAACTGAATGGCTGGGCCTAATGGAGGGCATTCGGTTGTGGGAAAAGTCCTTAACACCTTTGTGTCTTTCCTCCTTGGCAGGACATTTTACAAGGGATGGCACAGTTTGTTATTCACAGTACCCCAGGGAGGTAGATTAGCATTTGAGAGACTGGCCCAAGGTCACACTGTATGTTTGACAAAGCTAAGTGTGATGGATCTGCACGCATTGGGAATCTTTGTGGATGCTGGACCCATTCAGACAGGTTGAGGCAGACTGAAGCAGCTGCCTCAGGGGGCAAATTCTGGGGTGGGGGCAGAAAGAGGCAGCTTCTCCAGATGTTCCTCTCGAGGCCTCTGGCTGTACGCTTCTGTTGAGGGACACATATTGTCCTGCCCCTTCCAAGCCTCACAACTAGCCTGCTTCTTTCATGTACAGACGGTTCAGAACTCTATCCCATCGCCAGTAACAAAGGAAGATTCAGCTCTCAGTCCAGTTGGTTTATCTTACAGTGCAGTGCAGGGGTTTAGGGTACTGGACTAGGGTTCAAATCCCCATTAAGCCATAAAGGTCACTGGATGGGCGGCCTTGGGCTAGTTATCATCTCTCGGCCTGAACTATCCCACAGGGTTGTTGCGAGGATAAAATGGGAAGGTGAGTGGAACCTTGGACGGCCCCTTGCGTTCCTTGCAGTGCTGGATTTATGTATAAGCTAAACATGCTATAGCTTAGGACCCCACTCTCTTGGGCCCCCCAAAAAAATATTAAAGGGAAAAAACCACTGGATGTACATTTCCAAAATATAAGATGAAAAACAAATAAAATAAAACCTACATACAGCAACAGTGTTTTGTGTTGTGTAGGCTCCTATGATGTAAGTAATGGGCCCCACCTGCTAGCCTGCTCCCTAAAATATCACTGGTTTGCTCATTTCTGTATATAGGGTGCCTACATTCTGCATGGACTGGTTGCATGGCAACATATGCAAATGGTTTTAGATACCTATTAGGTCCATAAATTACCATATAGCATATATTCAACACAAAAAAAGCGACAATTTGTTGTTGACAAAGGACAGCTGGACATATAAAGGGCCCCATTACCTTCAGTAGCTTAGGGCCTCATCAAACCTGAATCTGGCCCTGGTTCCTTGGGGGAAAGGTGAAGTGTGAATGCATTGACTATATAAATAAATAGGTGGCCTGGTGGGGAGAGCACCTGTTTTGTTTGTTTTGTGTTGTGTTGTGTTGTTTTAGCATCAGGCAGCAACTGGTCCTGGTAGAGAGAGGAACCTTTCTTTCACTACCAAGCACAGTCAGAAGTCCACAGGGAAGGAAATAGGGGGTAACTTTAGATGTCCCTTTTCCCTACCACTTTATCCAGTGCACAGTGTCTCCCTCTCTGCCTCTCTCTGGATGCAGATGACCATTTGACAAACCATGTGGGTTTTCTTTTTTTACTCCTGTGGCAGAACAGCCCCTTTGCACATTTGCGTAGCATACAAATCACTTCTTTTGAGCCAAACAAAATGATACATTGTGAGCTCAGAACAAAACAACATACCTATAGTGGTTCCAGGCTCCAGCTGATTCCTCACTGCCAACCTTTTCCCTATTCAGCTCCAGGCCAGCCTTCCTCAAGCTGGTGCCCTCGAGATGTTTGGGACCATAGGACCCAACCGTTAGCCGTGCTTTTCTTGTGTTTGTACCTGAAGGATCCAAGAACAGAGAAGCGTGCTACAGACTATCCCATCTACAACAATTGAGCATCTTATGCAGCCTTCTTGCTACATTAATGCAGAAGTATCTCCCAATGTCTTTAGGCATTGCATTTGGGGATTGTGGCCGCTAAGGCTGTAACGACTTGGCAAGCTGGTAAGCGCTTTTACCTGAAGTGGTCTGTAATTATTATTAATATATTATTATTATATATATATATAATTAATTTGTACCCCGCCCATCTGGCTGGGTTTCCCCAGCCACTCTGGGCGGCTTCCACAAAGACCAAAAATACACTAAGATGTCACACATTAAAAACTTCCCTGAACAGGGCTGCCTTAAGATGTCTTCTGAATGTCAGGTAGTTGTTTATCTCTTTGACATCTGATGGGAGGGCGTTCCACAGGGCAGGCGCCACTACCGAGAAGGCCCTCTGCCTGGTTCCCTGTAACTTGGCTTCTCGCAGCAAGGGAACCGCCAGAAGGCCCTCGGCACTAGACCTCAGTATCCGGGCAGAACGATGGGGTGGAGACGCTCCTTCAGGTATACTGGGCTTAGGCCATTTAGGACTTTAAAGGTCAACACTAACACTTTGAATTGTGCTCGGAAACGTACTGGTCTGTAAAAGATACTGAAGTACTCTCTCCATAGTACATAGTTGTGGAGCAGCCACGCAGAATGCCTCTAGTCTAGTCATCCTGGGAGTTGACTAGGGCTGATGAGATTTTAGTCGAAAACTGCTGGAGGGCACCAGGTTGGGGAAGGCTGGTGGATGGACTCCGTGAGGGAGTCATGGAGAACACAGTGGGACTGGAGGAGAGGACACTGCCTGTGGCTACAGCCAGCTCTTCATTTCATCCATGTGGCTTCCCATCCAGTTGTCCCACAACACGGCCGGCTTGGGAGAATCGCAAATTTCTGACATTTCTAACAGCTGCAACTGCGTTGTCAGAGGGCTGCACAGCGAAAAGATGCCTCTCAAGTGGAATGCAGCAAGGAGCTCTTTGGTCAGCATTGGGGGCTTGGCGTTCCAGGGCCTATCTATTTTGGTCCATATTTTATCACTTGCTCCCCCACCCCATGGAATTTGCCCCAGGAAAACGTCGCAGTCGGACTGCAGCCTTCACAAGGAGACACAGAAACAGGTAGTCAAAGAGGTCCATTCCCCCAGCAAAGACCATGGCAGAGCGCACTGTCCCTCACGCCTACCCCATGAGCGCGGAGTACGAGTTTGCCAACCCCAGCAAGATTTACGACCAGAACTTTGGAGAAGGTAAGAAAAATGACTGCCTGGTAGCGTTTCCCTTTGATTTGCACACAGTAGATTGCAAACAATCCAAGGCTGAGCTGGTGATTCTAACTCAGCGATTGAGGGAATCCTATGGAAGAGTGATTATGAAAAAAAGAATAACACACACAGATTTTGCAATTGTAGAAATGTTCTCGTGAACTTGCATGGAAAGAGTGTTTGAAGCCCCCTTTTTACCACTCTTTTGCCTCCCTGAACAAAGGCACAGTGGGGCACCAGTGTGTGGCAGTGACTACCTTCTTCATGGGTCTGATGAGACTGAAGGTGCTTCCAAGTGGGTGTGTAATGTAGGATTGCTGTTCTTCATGCATGTGAAATTTCTTGCAGCATCCACATAGCATCGTTGCATGAAAATGCCACCCCATATTTCCTGCTGTTTAATCCAAATTTCCCCTTTCTTAGGAAAAACCTGTTTGTGATATCTCAGTGACCCATTTATAATATTAAAAACCCCATCTGGAAACAACCTCTCTATTGGAAACCTTTTAGTTGTTGTTTTTTTTAGATTATTCCTACAATCAGAACTGTGTCTCAGTGTGTTACCCCAAGTGCTGATAATCTGATTCTGTGCTTGTTTACCCAGAAATAAGCTTTTCTGGGTTCAGTGGGGCAGTGGATTGCGGTCTGAGATTATAGAAAACGCAAATCAATCCTCTAAAAAGTGAGTTCAATTCTTAATGTATAATTCAGTCAGATTGCAACTATAGGCATTGCCATGCATTCACTGTGCTAAATAGAATTACAGAGGCATAGCTATAGACACACACGCTCTCTGTATCACCTGGGATGATGAAACTATATATCAATATCCCCTGGGATGGGGAAGCACATCTCCAAATCCTTAATATTTTTTAGTCCATTAATATTGTGGTCATTAAAATCAATATGTGCGTCCATCAGTCAGCAACAGAATCGACCAACATAAAGGGATGCATGGGTTTGTTATACTGTAAGGCAAGTTTTTTGGGGGGTTTTAAAAGAAAAAAACAAGCCAATATGTTGCAACCAAGCTATCTGTAACCACACACAATGCAAAAGAGAGAGACAGCATCCCAGGTGTAAGGGAGGAACAACCCATGAAGATGAGACCCTATGGGTCAGTTGGCTTTACTTCTGTTTTGCAAGAAGTTAAAAAGACTTCCAGCTGGCAAGGGAGCCCTCTCAAAGCTGCTGGCAGCCGGGAACCAGATCCTTCTCTTTCTCCACACGGATCCAGGACGCTTTATGGAATGTGGCTGGCACAGAGCAGCATGGAGGGGAACGATGCCAGCCAGAGATTATTTTTATTTTTTTGCAAACGCCGTTAAAACTGGTGAAAAGCTGAGCTGGTGGGTTGTGCACAAAGCCCCGCTGGAGTTGCAGTGGCTGTTAGAGGAGAAAGAATGCAGAAGGCAGCAGTAAACCATTCAGCGCTGAACAGAGTGAAAAGCTGTAAGCCCCCAGAGAGAAGCCGGTGGGATGACTGTGTTGCATAAAAGGGCTTTTGTTGTCTGTTCCAGACTGCAGTCGGCTGCCATGTGCTCTCTTGCTTCTGGGCCTGGCAAAAATGGCTGGGCAGGACCAGGCCTAGGGCAACGGTAGGTGATGCCTTTGGGTGGGGAAGAGCAGGCAAAGCGGGAGAGGAAGGCTCCAGTGTAAGGAGAGTGAGAATGCATAGAATCTGGGAAATAAATGAACCCCCCAAAAGAAATATATCGGGAACTCCAAAATGCTGAGTTTGCCAAGTTTCCTTAGCATGGCAGCCTATTGAACATATGGCTGGTTTATATGAGGCAAGCCTGCTCTTTTGCCACTCTTTGACCCGGATGCTATGGACCTTTCTCAAAAAGATCTTATTCTCCATCTCATGATGGCCACACAGCTCACCATTGCAAGCTATCAGGGGACTCTGGAGAGCAACCTTTATCATAAAGTTTGGTTGACGAAACTTTGGGGCCTGATTCTGATGGATAAGTTGGCACTACAGCTATGTGTACGCAGGGGCAGTCAATGGACTGACCCTTTTACTTCTACATAAGTAAACAATGCACTTTGGCACTGAACTTGCTTTGGCACTGAACCTAAATCCGCCTCCATTATTCTTGTTATTTTAATTGTACTCAAGTGTGGCATAATCTGTAATTGTCAATTCTCCCTTTTAGGTGTTTCCCCAGGGGAAATCCTGTCCCCAACATTGTACCATGGCTACTACATTAGACCTCGGATTAATAAGCAGCTGGACCGAGGGATCTCAGAGGTCAACCTCAACGACCACAAATTCCAAGTGTTCCTTGACGTTTGTCAGTTCACGCCAGATGAGATTGCTGTCCGCACAGTGGACAATCTCCTGGAGGTGACAGCTCAGCACCCACAGAAGGCAGATCGGCATGGTTTCATATCCCGGGAGTTCACCAGGACCTATATCCTCCCTCTTGATGTTGACCCTCTGTTGGTCAAAGCCACCGTGACCCATGATGGCATTCTGAGTATAGAAGCTCCGCGGACAGGAAAGGAGGTGAAGGCCAAAATCAATGAGGTGAAAATAACACGCCAAGAACAGCCAGCAGCGGAAGGAAAGGGCTGTGAGGAGAAGCCACAGCCCTAAAACATCCCTCAGCAATGTCCTCTCCCACATTGAACATGCCCCCTTCAACGTGCACACATTTCACTGAATGTCAGGATTGGACGGCTGATTTGGGGAAGGGGGCCTAGCCACATGGCTTTGTGGGGTCCTGTCTCTTTTTCTCATCCTTTAGATGTGGCAGCCATTTTGTGTTATGCCACGCACCCGCAGCAGCCATTTTTTTATGCCATGCCCCCAAGGCAGCCATTTTGTGACTGGTGTCCATGGCACATTCTCAAAAAAAATTTCAAACATGCCAATCGGCATAAAAAAATTGGCAAAAGCCCCTGTCCTATTGTATGCCTACTGACTTGGATCAACAATTTTTCTCTCTGTGTGTGTTTGAACTGTTAAGCCTCATGCTCTGAATGTATAAATTGGTTTTTTTAAAAATAAATAATCCTGAGAATTATACGCTTGTGGACCTCTGTACCTCACTAATATTCTTTCAAGACTTAGAGGCAAGGAGATAGGATGTTCATTTGACCAATCAGAAGGCAGTAGAGTGCCTGGCGGGCATCCTGGTCAATCTGATTGGGCCGAGCTGCTTCCATTGGTTCTGCCAGCAGCAGCCACCATCAATTACTCGTGTTGTCATGGCAACAAGGGCACTGCCACTCATCGCAATGCAGTTAGTTTTGCCTATTTGGTCCATGGAGCTCAAGTTAGTGGGATTCTGAAAAAAAGAAGCTGGCTACAGTGCAGCAGTGCCAATATTGATACGGCCCCCTTCATGCGTGTGAGCTCCCACCATGCCCCAAATTATGAGGCATATGTTGGCAGACTGGGCAAGCACACAAGCCACCTCAACCTCTTCCCACTATGGTGAGATGAACTGTGTTCCTATTTCAATGGCAGCACAGTAATTATTCCTGAGTTTTAGGAATTCTGTAGAAGCAATGGCCCATCCATACCTCAACTTGATGTGGATTCTGAACCCCTTGTGCTTCCTTTAATCCCACCCCGCCCCCCCGCCCCCGTTCATGCAGCATTCTCTTCTAACTCCTGCTGTCCCAGACGTTCTCCTCCCTAAACCCAGAGATTCCCTATGCAATCAATATAAGCTATTTTGGATTTTCAAATCACAGGGATTTAGGGAAAAGAAAGTGTGGGACAGCAGTAGTTGGAGGAAAACACTGCACAAACGAGGGGGTATTAAAAGAAGCACAAGGGGTTCACAATCCACATTAAGACGAGGTATGGACTGCCTCTAAGTTACCATATGCAAATTGGCACCCTCTTTTCTTGGAAATTCATATCCCCTTTTCTGATGGTGCATTAACTGGCTGCTCCAGCTGGGTGTGTTGGCTACTGAACTCATATGTTTGCTTTTTTTGTGCCATGAGAATAAGGCATTAATAAAACCACAACTGAAAGGAGGCACATGTGTGCTTAATCCAGTGAGGCATGCCATTCTGAAAGCTCATAAAAATAAACAAAGGGGGGGGGGAGAACCGAAGTTTGTAAGCTTACTATTCCTCATGACTAAAACATTTCTCCTGCGCAAACAAGCTTACCAGCTCTATTGACTTTTACTTCCACAACACACCTTGGAGGCAGCTGATTGTTAACCAAGGGCCATAAGCAGGTGTTTTGCAATGCAGGTGACCTCAGGGTACACATTGGGTGTAGGCACATCGTCTTGATGTGAAACAGCAGGAACATCAATATAAGAAGCTTGATAAGTTAACAGGGTTTAGACTGCAGTCCTGTACCCATTTATCAGGGAGTATGTCTCGCTGAACTGAGAGATACTTCTGAGTAATTACGTAGACTGTTATAATGACTACTTAGAGAGCACCAGCATTTTATGACATGACGTCAGTAGTGTAGAGGCAAATTCAGAGGTGCAGAGTCCCTTCTTAATAGTCGCAGCCATGGCCACTCTCAATCACACCCTCCTAAGATTATGTAACATTCTAAGAGTATGCAATCTTATAATGATGCAATGATGATAAATTGGGTCCTCCCTTAAAGAGGGCGCGTATTATGGTGACACCCTGTGTTGTGGGTGGATACGATTGGTCAGCCACAACACCCAATTGGTAGGTCCCTCGTAGCTGGGTGCAATCTGGCCAATGGGACACAGTCCAAACAGTTCGAGGGACCTATTTATACCCATGCACGTCACCCAGAGCTTCCTCTTTCGGCACGTGCATTTGGAACACCCGCCCACCTCTTCCTACTTTTAGGGCTTTGCGCTTGACTTTGTTATGTTGTTGTGTGTCGTCTGTCATTGGGACAGGGGCATGGCAGGAATTTTCCCCACTTGGCTGATTGGTGGTTGCCATTTGGGTTTCGCCTGCTGGGTCACAACTTGTAAGGTTGCGGATAGGCTCTGGTTCAGGTGATAGGGATGGGAGGACGCTCTCGCCATCCCTATGTGAAGGGTATTCCGTTAAAGGAATCCAGGGACTCAATGGTTTGGTCAACCCCTGAGAGGGGGACATTTGGGTGGCGGAGATAGCCTGTTCCCGGCTTTCCGCTTATCCAGGTGTTCACCCTTGGCTGACCTATGCTGGAACCCTGGGTCAGCGCTACCTGCATGGCAGGGAGCTAGTTGAACCAGAGCCTATGCAACCAGTCACTTTCTGTAATCAATAAAGTTGTGGCCTAAATTCTGCCGAAAACCAAAACTAAAATTTGAGACAAGTGTGAATTTATTTAGGGGGGAGGTTTCTGGGTCTGAACACGCAAATAGGGATGCATTACAATGACCAGTGCCAATCTTCTTTTAGAGTATCTTAATTTGTGTTTTCCTTGATGTTCCTTTGTATGTAACAGAACTTGCACACCAGTGTACCTTGTGTGTTCATTGTGTCTAAATGCTTAGGTTTGGAGCATACTAAACAACTCCCCCTTGGTGTTTTCCTCATGCGCCTTTTTCAGAGTGACCCTAGCAGCCAGTCCTCAGTGGCTGACTCTTCTCTTTTCACTCTGACTCCAATCAGCGCTAAAGGTGAGAAGGCTTCTTAGTGGCTAAAAAACCCTTTCTTTTCACGCTGAGTGTGGGGCTCTAGGATGCTGGAGACAGAGACCTACTGCATATACAAAAAGGTGGTTTTTTTTTGGCCCCCCGTGATCCCAAATCCCCACATGTTTTGTGTGATGTAAAAAAACCCACAGATCCCTGCCCAAGAAAACTTAGTTTTCTATATTTCAGCAGAAGGGACGACTGCAAAAGATGGAGAGAGGAGAAGGTATCGGGGAAAGCAAATGAATCTTCATGCAAATTTGGCTACAATATCTCAAGAGGCGTCTGAATGCATAGTGAACATACATACTTCCTAAAATATATCGTTGGGGGGTTATCATTAAAATTGTAATGATCCTGAAAAAAATGCCAAGTGCTTGTCAGCCATCCCCAGGATGCATTGGCAAGAAGAAGAAAAACTATTCAGGATAAAGTTTCCTTCTTATTGAGCATCCCATTAGGCAGCGGGAAGCAGCTGGCTTGAGCAGCTGATTGTGGGTGCTGCCAAAGGACAGCAAATCGTTACTTATTTTATTATTGTAGGGGTTTTTTAATGCCCAGTGAAAGAGAGAGGGCTTTGAGGATCCCAAATTAACTTGGGTGCTATGCACCTTCCCAGAGGTGTGGAAGATAAACCATTTTTTTTGTACCTTCTCAGCAAAGACGGGAGAGGAATTCAATCCAATTCACATTTAACAACCCTACCAAATGCACACTTTCTGAAATAATATGGGAACCGAAACACAGGCATCTAAGATCTAGGGGTCTTAGTAGAGCACAATATTAACATGAGTCAACAGTGTGATGCAGCAGCAAAAAAAGCAAATGTTATTCCATGCTGCATTAACAGAAGTTTGGTGTCTAAATCCAGGGAAGCCATAGCACCGCTCTGTTCTGCCTTGGTCAGACCACACCTGGAGTACTGTCTCCAGTTCTGGGCACCACAATTTAAGAAGGTTGTTGACAAGCTGGAATGTGTGCAGAGGAAAGCAAGCAATATGATCAAGGGTCTGGAAAGCCTTATGGCGCACCGTTGAGGGAGTTTATTTATTTATCTATTTTATTCAATTTGTATACAGTGGTACCTCGGGTTAAGTACTTAATTCGTTCCGGAGGTCCGTTTTTAACCTGAAACTGTTCTTAACCTGAAGCACCACTTTAGCTAATGGGGCCTCCTGCTGCTGCCACGCCACTGGAGCATGATTTCTGTTCTCATCCTGAAGCAAAGTTCTTAACCTGAGGGACTATTTCTGGGTTAGCGGAGTCTGTAACCTGAAGTGTATGTAACCCGAGGTACCACTGTACTGCTTTTCATCTAAACATCACAGGGTGGTTCACAACATAAAAAGTTATGTTCAGCTTGGAAAAGAGGAGACTGAGAGGAGATAGAATAGCCATCTTCACATATCTCAAGGGCTGTCACCTGGAAGATGGAGCAAGCTTGTTTTCTGCTGCTCTGGAGGGTAGGACCCGAACCAATGGATTCATGTTACAAGAAAGGAGATTCTGACTAAACATCAGGGAGAACTTTCTGACGTTAAGAGCCATTCAGCAGTGGAACGGACTCCCTCACAAGGTGGTGGACTCTCTTTCATTGGAGGTTTTTACACAGAGGTTGGATGGCCATCTGTCATGGATACTTTAGTTGAGATTCTTGCAGGGGGTTGGACTAGATGACCCTTGGGGTCCTTCCAACTTTACAATTCTACGATTCTATGATGATTAGAAAGTCATGCTTCTCCAGATTTTGCAATGTAGTTCCCCGGCCAAGTGAGGTGTACAAAAATGCATATACTAGGGTAATTTTTTTGCATTAAAATGCATATATTAAATATCATGCAAGAATGCATGATATTAGGCAAATTTGCTTTGGAAGAATATCTATGGTAAATTAGGCTAAGAAACAGGAACTGGCCTCTGATCATCCAGTGAGTTTGGCAGCAGCCAAGCTCTTGTACTCGAGTCCTACTTGTGGCTTTCTCATACGCATCCAGTTAATCATGGAGAGAAACGGATGCCAAATGTGCCCTTGGTCTGATCCAGCAGGTCTCTTCTTACATTTGCAAAACTCAATAATTCTGACTTTTCATCCTCTTTTCTCTGCCCCATGCTGGTCTGATGGACTTCAGGATGCCACCCTGCAGAGCTGGGTACTGTTCCCCTCTTCCAGCCTGTTATGTACTGAGTTGAATAGGATCCAAAAGGCAGCAGTCTGATTGGTCCACAGGAGCCACCCAATCCAGCTCCAGGTGGAAGGGGATCCGCAAACCGATTGGCCTACAGGAGAATAACCGGAATTAGCCAATCACGTGGGGCCCATTGTGTAAATAATGTATATAAGGCAGACATTTTGGGGGAACTTCCATTCCTCCTCACCTCTATGAGCTGAATAAAGAGCATGAAATCCACTAGCAGCTCCGAGTATATTTCACTGGCAACGAAGGTGGGATCCTCGACTCCGAGTATATTTCACAGCCAGTGCTCAATTCCTTCGTTACAGAAACACATTATTGCACATGCCTCTCGTGTCAGTAGCAGTGGAGGAGAAATTTAACTTTGTTTACATTTCAATGAGAAACTTCCTAATTCCACACCTCTTGAGCCAATGTGTGAACCAAAACACAACCACCCTTCAATATCTGCAGTTCTCTGTATTTTGCAATGCAGCTATCCAAGCAAACAGTGCATAAAATGCATATAATGGGGGAGGGGGAGGGATGCACCTTAAAATGTATATATTAGTCACAAAATAGCATGCAAAATGAGCATATTGCTAAACAAGAAACTACAAAAAAGATGTATAGTGGGAGAAAATTGCACTAAAATGCTGAATTTTCATGAGGATTTTCAAAAACCAATTGCAAATTGCTGCAGAAATGTGGAGAGCTGGATTTAAGATCAGAATAATAAAATTCTGGTTTGCCCATGCCTACATTTCAGGCCGCAAAGAAGTGGGTCTTGGTTTTGGCCCATCTACTGCAGGGAATTACAGGCCCAGATTTTTGCCAGCAAAACATAATCCACCCCCCACCCCACTGCCCCGCATTGCATTGTTAAGCCTGGGCGCTGAGACCCAGACTCCCTTTTGTGCCCGCAGACACGTTATGAAAAGGGAATGTGGACTGGCAGCCAAGGATTGGCTGGCAGGGGTGGTGTTTTTGATGCTTCTCTGTTTCCCCAGAGGAGCTAAAAAAAACCCCTGAGCAAACTGAGCACATGTCCAGAGAGGGGCTTAAAGGAGCAGGCGTGCAAACCCAGAGTTTGTGTTATTTTTGGGTCTCAGCACAGGGCTAAGAAAACTCAATAGACGTTCTGGAAATCAAAACAGATTCAGGGACTGTGCTTGTATTAGCAAAGGTCTAGTGTTTCTGGGGTGGGGGTTTGTTCAGGGCTACTGTACTGTACTTGTTTGCACTATGAATACAGTCGTGGAAGCCACTAAAACGATCAGACACTCTGGATGCTTCTAGAAGAGCTGCTTATTGAAGATTCATTCTGGTTGGTTCACAGAGAGATTAGACAATGTTGGTTATTTAATGAGCATTCATTCTAATTTGTTTGTGGGGGGTCAGATGATGATGCGTCAAAGCAAGTGTTACTGCCTCTCCTGGTATGCCCCGCGGAGGACATTAAGGTCCACCAATGACAACATTTTGGAGGTCACAGGTCGCAAGGTGGTTAGATTGGTCACAGCTAGGGCCAGGGCCTTTTCAGTACTGGCCCCGACTTGGTGGAACGCTCTGTCACAAGAGTCTAGGGCCCTGCGGAACTTGACATCTTTCTGCAGGGCCTGCAAGACAGAGCTGTTCCGCCTCGCCTTTGGTTTGGACTTAGTCTGACCCTTATGTTCCCTCCCCTTACGGTCTTGATTTATCGGCTACTTTTAAAATGAGGCTGCATTTCAAATTGCATTTTAACCTGTATTTTAAATCCCCCCCAATTATGTTTTTACTGTGATTTTATTGGTGTTAGCCACCCTGGGCAGGGTATAAATAAAATTTATTATTATTATTATTATTATTATTATTATTATTATTATTATTATTCACACTTTCCACAATCAGCATCTGGTTGGTGACTGTGAAAACAGGATACTGGAGGAGCCTTTGGACTGATCCTGTAGGGCTCTTATGATTCCCATCACCTGTCGCCTGATCTTTTCAAATGGAGGTTGAAGTTGGGCCCTTCTACATGCCAAGCACGAGCTCTCTCACTCGGCTATGGTCCGCTTCTTGGCCACAGCCTTTCCACCTAACCCCAGTTCTGCTGAGGATCTCAATGAGCAGAATACCTCCTCTTCCTTTATCCTTTGCTGTCTCCTGCAGATGCAAGGTGACTGGTGATGGAGAAGAGCAGAGAGAGCTACGTATACCCTGTTTTTGTTTCAAAACTTCCTGAGTCTAGTTTTTGGAATTCCCCTGCCAAAAACCTGCAGATAGCATGTTCAGGGATGGCAAAGACCACCTGTAGAACTGCTGTCTCTTTTGCAGCTGCAGAGAGCTCGGGAGGCCTCTAAGGAACATAAAAGTAAAGAATACACACTAGCCCCCCTCCTATAAATTAACCACACACTCATCATCATATCATGGTGTGGTGAGGAAGAAGGGAGGATGTTGGCAGAGGCGGATTTAGGGGAGCATGACTGGTTCACCCACACTGTGCACCATACAACAGAAAGCGAGATGTGGGGGCTCTGAATTTTGGTGTTGCACCAATTTTACTGCTGAAATTTTAAAGCCTAAAGTCTGCCACTTGATGTCGGGCCAGTAAGTAGGGATCATGATCTTCAGGTGGTTGTTTTTTCAGAGCAAAATGTTGCATGAGAATAAGACAAGCCTGCAACTATGGGCAAGTCGGCTCCTCACCCCACTGGAAGTTTGGAAATATTTTTCAAAATCAAAATCTGCGCATCCGTCCATATGGATATGATTCCTTCTGCGTGCGCCTGCCAGATTCCTCACCCGTTTCAGCTCTTGCGGTGGCGGAGAGCTGAATGTCCTGGGCACGATGCTCCGAGCGGATGTGAGGAGCCCAAAAGCCATTGTGCATCTAACTCCTATAACTCAAGCTGCCACATACTCCAAAGCCAGCAAGGCAGAGACTCAAGGGGGGAAGCGGAGCAGCTGGGAGAGGAGCAGCGACAGCAGCAGACGCCGCTGCCGCTGCCTTCGGGAGATCTTCTGTCCAGTAGATGGCACACACAGCTTTGCCTTCCTTGATGGAGGGAGAAACCTGACACGTCCATGATCCAGACACTCCCTTGGATTGGATCTGCCAGGGGCTGAACAGGGAACCAGGAAATGCGGGCGCCCTGTGCTCCAGTGAGGTTCTCCTCTCCAGAAAGGCAAGATTTCTCCCTCCAGAGAGCGAAATGGGCAACCAGTGCTGCTGCTGCGTCTGGTGAGTTAGCTGGGGCCGGCTTGCTGCTTGGGAGCTGGGCAAAGAGGGAGGGAGCGCTTCTTGGGGGCAGCCCAGGGCTACGAAGAAGACCAGCTTTGCCAGCTGTGTCGTGTTAAAGAAAGGGAGAGGTGGTGTTTCCCTGCCGGGTCTGGAGAGCTTGGCTGGTTCTTCTAGCTGGTGCCACCACCATCCTCCTCAGCCCCGTGGCTGGGAGCAGAGCCACCCGGGCAGCACCTAGTATCGACTAGGGGAAGGATGGAAGCGTTCCAGGTTTCACATCCACAGGAGGAGCTTGCCCGTCTCCTGATCTGCCTTAAATGCTTTTGCAGGCAAGATACAGAGAGATCCTCCTGGAGCGGCTTCCACTTCTCCAAAGGAGGCAGAGCTTAACTGGAGACAGGTGTCAAGAGGGCTCAGCCCTACGCAGAAGCTAATTCATTGTCAAAACCCTGAGACTTATTTGCTGAGCACGTACAGGGTCTGCTGCCTGTCCCAATGAGAGCTGCCACTAGCCCATACATACCAGGTTGGCTGGGGGTTGGGTGGGCACCTGTGGTTCTCCAGATGTTGGTGGACTACAACTCCCATCATCCCCAGCCATTGGCCCTGCTAGCTGATGCGGCTGATGGACGGCTGGAGGTTCCCCATCCCCGTACTAGATTATAGGAGGTCAATGTGTATAAGTTTGATGGGCAGGCTGGAGTGCTGGCACCTCCCCTTTTAGAAATTAACCACTCAGAGGAAGGCTAGCAGGCTGCCAACTTTTCCCACCTGTTGCCGCTCCTGTTACCTTAGCAGCAGTTTTGTCTTGCCTTTAATAGGCAATCTTGTTTACTATCTCCATTGCTGAGAAAAAAACTTTGCCCTTTGGTTTCTATATATCAGGCAACAGTTAAAAACATAAGAGCGGACCGGGGTGGGGGTCAGTTGGCAATCCTTCTTGTATTGACAGCCACTTGAGAACCCAGTGCATTAATCTGCACTGGGGACTCCTTGGAGAAAGTATGGAACAACAACCAGAAAACAATTTAATTATTGAAAAGAAATCCATTCTTTCCCGTATATTGCAGATGAGGTGGTGAGGCTAGGAAAGAGTGCTGTTTCTATTGCCACTGACTTTGGGCGACTTTCGAACTAGGAACCTCCCGGTTGTCACTCAGCCATTCTCTTTTAGGGGGTTCCAACCACTATTTGGGTAGGGACGCTGGGTGGTGCTGTGGGTTAAACCACAGAGCCTAGGACTTGCTGATCAGAAAGTCTGTGGTTCGAATCCCCGCGATGGGGTGAGCTCCCGTTGCTCGGTCCCTGCTCCTGCCCACCTAGCAGTTCAAAAGCACGTCAAAGTGCAAGTAGATAAATAGGTACTGCTCCAGCGGGAAGATAAACAGCGTTTCCGTGCGCTGCTCTGGTACGCCAGAAGCGGCTTAGTCATGCTGGCCACATGACCCGGAAGCTGTACGCCGGCTCCCTCGGCCAATAAAGCGAGATGAGCGCCGCAACCCCAGAGTCGGTCACGACTGGACCTAATGGTCAGGGGTCCCTTTACCTTTACCTTAACCACTATTTGGGCATTTGAGAACCTAAGCTCGGGGTGCCAAAAATTCATTCAGCCTATGGAGTCCATAGCTGTCAACTTTTCCCTTTTCTTGCGAGGAATCCTATTCGGAATAAAGGAATTTCCCTTTAAAAAAGGGAAATGTTGAGTCCCAAATGCAAGTAGTTTGGTGTGATCTAGCAACATATGAAGCTGCCTTTTGGTCCATCTAATTCAGTATTGTCTACACTGACTGGCAGCAGCTCTCCAATGCTTCAAGCAGGGGGTCTCTCCCAGCCCTACCTGGACATGCCACTGGGGATTGAAACTAGGACCTTTGACATGCAAAGCAGATGCTGGTCTACTGAGCTATAGTCCATCCATTCTGGGAGGAATCTCCCTAGGATTCCCATTTATTTTGCCTCCTATACAGTGGTACCTCGGGTTACATACGCTTCAGGTTACATACGCTTCAGGTTACAGACTCCGCTAACCCAGACATAGTTTTTCAGGTTAAGAACTTTGCTTCAGGATAAGAACAGAAATCGTGCTTCAGCGGCGTGGCAGCAGCAGGAGGCCCCACTGGCTGAAGTGGTGCTTCAGCTTAAGAACAGTTTCAGGTTAAGTACGGACCTCCGGAAAGATTTAAGTACTTAACCTGAGGTACCACTGTATACCGTGTTTACTTGAGTCTAATGCGCCATCGAATCTAATGCGCACCTCAATTTTCAGAACCTTGAAACAAAAAAAAGGATTTGCTGGCGAATGTAAATGTGCCATTGAATCTAATGCGCACCTCAATTTTCGCAATGTAATTTGGGCAAAAAAAGGTGAGCATCTGATACTGAGTAAATACAGTAATAGAAGCAGCAGCAGAAAGAAGCAGATTCCTTTTATGGCAGGTGGAAGGATCTCCTACATTGGGAGTGTGGGTGGGGAGAGCCCAGTCTGCGGTGTGGCCACTGTCTGAAAGACTGCTTTGAGCAAGAGGAGAGAAGGCTCACTGTGAAACAGAAGTATTGATTTTCGGTTTTGCTGTGACGCTAATGGTTTGTGGTCGAACAGAGAAATAGCATCATCTAGTGGAGAGAAAACTGCAGGGTTATTTCCTGGTGAAAAGTTGTCTAGATTTGTTGGTGGATTTCCAACTTGGTCCTTAATTTCTAAAAAAAATCACACACACACACACACAAAGTGCAAGTAGATAAATAGGTACCGCTCCAGCGGGAAGGTAAACAGCGTTTCCGTGTGCTGCTCTGGTTCGCCAGAAGCGACTTACCGTAGTCATGCCGGCCACATGACCCGGAAGCGGTCTACGGACAAACGCCGACTCCCTCGGCCAATAAAGCGAGATGAGCGCCGCAACCCCAGAGTCAGTCACAACTGGACCCAATGGTCAGGGGTCCCTTTACCTTTCCTGCTTACATTAAGAGTTAGGAGAGCCTTCTCCAGTTCCCAGAATTCTTGGGAGGAAGCTGTGACACTTAAAGTGGTATAAGAGTGCTTTCAATGTATGGTGTGGATGCCGTTCTAAAAACAAGTAATGTGCTCGGTGCTTGTTTTACAGTTTTTGAATGTGTGTACCAAAACACTAGAAAGCAGGAACAAATGTTTCTCTTAGAGAGCAGTTTAAAGCAGAGTCATGCCTCCGAGTTTCCCCCTCTATCTCCATAAGTAATGAGGACTAGAAACTTACTTTTTAAAAATTGCTCCTAGATTGCAAGGTATTCCCCCCCCCCCACACACACAAATGATTTTGCAGACATCCAGCCCACATTGGCTCCTGTGGCTCTTTCTGCTTGAAATCTTTCAACAGAAAGGTGCTTTGGTGGGAATCTTGGAACTCAGTGTTCCCTGGAGCTCTTGCCACACTTCCATTTCTCCCTTGAAAGTGATTTCAGGTCTGAGAGGGTTTTTTGGGGGGGAGGGGTTCTTTTGGCCCCACCACTTTCCCCAGTAAAATCCGATATTCAACTGCTGAATCAGAGCAAATGTCAATTGGGTTTTCTGTGGATTTATGTTTGTTCCGATTCGGCAATTTAATGGGGAAAGCAGCAGAAGCACACAAACACACAACTTCTTGGACCCATGTTTTGAAAGTGTGGGTGGGCCCTTAGTCTCCCCACCAGTGCCAGATTTATGTATATGCTAAGTAGGCTGAAGACTAGGGCCTCTAAATCTCCCGCTCCCCAGCGGGCAGTTTCCCCTTTCCCAAAAGACTTCATGCAAGGGCTGGGCAACTCAGGCCCAGCAACTATGAGACTCAGGGCTAGCCTGTGGGGGCCCAATTTGAGGCAGAGGGGCACAACTTGAATTTTTTTTCTTGTAGGGCCCCAGTTCACAGCCAAAGTCTGCAAAATCTTATAGATATAAATAAAACCCATCTAGATTGTTCCTGGCGCAGGGGCCCCCTTAGGAGTGGCCTGTGGGGCCCAATTTGGCCCAATTGCTCCAATTGCCTTAAGGTCAGCCCTGATGAGACTGTGCAGGGGTTGGAGTGACAAGCCCTGCACCTTCTAGGTCCCTGGTGTCACCATTCAGAGTACAGACTCAAGGACTGGTTATGGAAATAAAGGGGGGCACTTATTGGAAATCAGTTTTGTCACCTCTTCCCCCACAAACCCCAAGACAATGAGCCCAGCCACCTTTTATTCTTAGTTGCATAAGCATTACACTACAGCATGGCCATACACTTGTATGTTCAACCGCTGAAATATACACCCAATGTGTAGCAATGGAGATTTATGTTACTGCTTTATGAATGAACACTGTGTTTTATGAATGGACTCTGTATTTTGTAAATTACTTAAGAGCCACCAATAGGGAGCTCTAGAATCTGACAGCTAACCAACTGGGTACTACCAAGCAATGACCCCTATTGCTGAAAGCAGGTAACCAGCAGGGAATGCTTCAGCTCAGCCTTTGCACAGTTGACTGAACACCCCCTGCTCTGCAGATATTGGAGAAAGCTCGTAAATTGTATCCCTTCTGGCATCCTGACCAACTCTGTTATGCTGGTCTAAACCCTGGTGCACCAGAAGCCCAGAATAGCGGCAAATAAGGTCTGCTCATACGTCAGCAACTGATAAGACTTGTCAACTAGTTATTCCAAAATTATAAAGCTCCAAAATACAGGCCTCATATCTTATGTCCTTTGGAGGAGAAATTGTGAATTGCAAGAATTTTAAATACCTGCCATCATCCTTGTCTTCACTCAAATTTTCTTCTAGTTGTGAGGGTGGGGGATGGGGAGGGGCCTCATAAGTGGAGTAGCCTAGGGCAGTGTTTCCCAACCGGTGTTCCGCGGCACACTAGTGTGCCGCGAGACGTTGCCTGGTGTGCCGCGGGGAAAATTAAAAAATTCGAAAGATATCCAGAGAGGCGGCCTTCAGGCGAGTTTTAATTTTAATTTTCCTTCTCCCACTTAATGCCCCACGCTCGCCCGAGCAGCTTGCAGTTCTCGGTA